GCTTTTCTGGCCTGGCCCCAGGAGGAAGTGCACAACACTTCTGCCTATTCAGCCACCATTTTCTCCCACTTTCTTTTAGTATTTTTCTCATTTATGAAGTTACATTCTTCATTTCTGACTGGTTCTTTTTAATGGTTTCTATGTCCTATTACATGCTATTGTAGTCCCCGTCAAGTTCCTTGTAGTTCTCACCATGTTCCTTGAGCATCCTTATAACCATGAAATCAATGTCTGATAAATTTCTGTGCTGCATTTCATTTAGCTTTTTTTTCTGGAGATTTCTCCTGTTCTTTCATCTAGAGCAGTGGTTCTCAACCTTCTGGCCCTTTAAATACAGTTCCTCATGTTGTGACCCAACCATAAAATTATTTTCGTTGCTACTTCATAACTGTAATGTTGCTACTGTTATGAATCGTAATGTAAATATCTGATATGCAGGATGGTCTTAGGCTACCCCTGTGAAAGGGTCGTTCGACTGCCAAAGGGGTCGCTACCCACAGGTTGAGAACCACTGATCTAGAGCATGTATCTTTTTCTCCTCATTTTGGCTGCTAGTTTTTGGTTGTTTCTATGTATTCGGTAGATCTGTTCTGTCTCCCAGTCTTAGTTGGTTGGCCTTATGTACTTTGTGTCTTGTGGGATCCAGTGGAGCAGTCTCCTTGATCACTGGAGATATATGCTGCAGTAATATCCCTTGTGTAGTTTATGTGAGCCCTCCTGCTGTAGTTGAGTCTTGATTGCTATTGGCCTATTTATGCATAAGTCTGACCCTCAGGCTCACTGACTGTGAGGATCAACTCTGACTACTGTGTACCGACTGCAGTGTAGGTGCTTATCACATGAAGTGGAATTCCCCTCATCCGGGTTTGGTACCTGCCCACATCTTCTTTTGAATATGCTGCTTGTGAAGCTTATTAGATCCTGCTCTGATGTTATCTGAAGGTGTCTACTTGGTCTGTTGGTTCTGGGGACTCTTGGGAGGGACTGTGTTGCAGATCAATAGCAGATACTGCCTGTCACTGGCCCTAGCCTTTCTCTTTGGAGCAGTTTCTAAATGATTTCTTCTGTAAATCCTTGGTTATATGACTTCTGTTTACCCTGTCTTTGGTTGGTAATTCAGGCTGATTATTCTATATTTAAGTTGTAATTCCAGTTGGGTCTGGGGAGAAGGTGAGTATAACTTCCACCTATTCTCCTGCTATCATGAATATCAAAAAAGAGACTTTTAGTAACTTGTTACTATCTAGAACTTTTATTTTACTTTTAAAAATATTTTATTGATTTAAAAGAGGAAGGGAGAGGAAAAGAGAAATAGAAATGTCAATGATGAGGGACAATCATTGATCAGCTGCCTTCTGCACACCCCTACTGGGGATCCAGCCAGCACCTTGGGCATGTGCCCTTACCAGGAATCAAATCATTACCTCCTGGTTCATAGATTGATGCTCAACTACTGAGCAACACCAGCTGGGCCAACAAAACTTTTTTTTACCATTAAGAATAATTTATTTTGGAGAAACTAAGATGGCAGCATATGTAAACACCTATACTTGCTGCCTCTCACAACCACATCAAAATTACAACTAAAAGGCAGAACAGCTACCACCCAGAACCACGGGAAAGCTGGCTCAGTGGAAGTTCCACAACTGGAGAGGTGAAGAAAGCACATTAAGACTGGTAAGAGGTGTGGAGGCATGGAAAGTGCTGGCACCTGGATGTGCTGCTCTTTTAATTGGGAGGGAGATACAAACTCTGCTTGCTCTGAACTCCAGTTCTGGGTGAGACTCTGGGGGACCCAGACACATATGGGGAGAAACTGGACTGCCTGGCATCGGGATAGGAACGTGAAGGCGGCTTTCTCTCAGAGGTCCTCTCAGTGATCATTGTTCCTGCATGGGGGCGTGGAATGTGGAGACCCGGGGACCTCTCCAATGCAGGGCTGACTGGCAGCCATTGCTGTTTGCTCCACCCTGGTGGTTCCCAGAGACCCCGTCCCACCCACTTTACAATCCCACCCAAGCTGTGCACATTGGCTTTTGCCTATAAATAGCCTGTCTTTTCTCTGCCTAAAATCTGTCAAATTGCAGCTGGGTCAGAGAGCCCCAGAGCTTCCAAAAGAAGGCTCAAGTCCTGGCAGCAGCAGCCTGCCTTGCTTCACAGCTGGCCTTGTCTGAGCACTTCCAAACCTCATACAAAGAGGAGGAATCTGCAGTTGTCTCTGATTCTCCTGCTGGGCAGCCCCAGACAGTAGCTGACCTTATACCTCCTTGGAGATCCAAGAACCAGTGTACCCAGTGGTCAGAGTGAGACCATACAATTTTACAACTCTTCACAACCATAAGCAACACACTCAAGGGGCAGACTCAGTGAGCACCAAAGCCCCACTGAAGCAAGTCCTGCCCCATAAGGGTGTCTCCTGTGCAATAGATATTCCAATATAGACCCAGCTGGTCATCACACCAATTGTCCTGGAGGTCAATTCCTCCCAGTGATACCAACAGCAATCAAGGGTTAACTACAATGAGACTGTGCAAACAGCCCACAAAGATGTGCATCAAGAGTGTTCACCTCAGGTTGCTGGGGAGGATAAGCCACTGGGCCCTATAGGACACCTACCACACAAGGCCACTCTATCAACTCAAGGAGACTTAGCAGCTACCCAGTACATGGAAACAAACACAGGGAAGCAGCCAAAATGCAGAGACAAAGAAACAAGTCACAAATGAAAGAAATGGATGAAAGCAAAATACTGGATATAGAGTTCAAAACCACGGTTATAAGGTTACTCAAGAATCTTCTAGAAACCTCCAAGAAATTTAGTGAGACCCTTAAGGATATGAAAAAGGACCAATCAGAAATTAAGCATACACTGACTGAAATAAAGAATAATATACAGAGATCCAACATCAGACTAGAGGATCCCAAGATTCAAGTCAAAAATTTGAAATATGAAGAAGCACAAAACACCCAAGTGGAAAAGCAAAAAGCAAAAGAATCCAAAAATATGAAGACAGTATAAGGAGCCTATGGGACAACTTCAAGTGTACCAACATCGGAATTATGTGGGTGCAGAAAGAAGAGACAGAGCAAGATATTGAAAATTTATTTGAAGAAATAATGACAGAAAACTTTCCCTACCTGGTGATAGATATTGACTTACAAGTCCAGGAAGCACAGAGAACCCCAAACAAGAGGAATCCAAAGAGGACCACACCAAGATACATCATAATTAAAATGCCAAGGGTAAAAGAGAAAGAGAGAATCTTAAAAGCAGCAAGAAAAAAAAAACAGTTACCTACAAGGGAGTACTCATACGAATGTCAGCTGATTTCTCAACAAAAAACTATGCAGGCCAGAAGGGAGTGGCAAGAAATATTCAAAGTGATGAATAACAAGAACCTATAACCAAGATTACTCTATCCAGCAAAGCTATCATTTAGAATTGAAGGTCAGATAAAGAGCTTCACAGATAAGAAAAAGCTAAAGGAGTTCATCACCACTAAACCAGTATTATATGAAATGCTGAAGGGTATTCTCTAAGAAGAGGAAGAAGAAGAAAAAGGTAAAGAGAAAAAAATATGAAGAACAAAGTGACAACAAATACATATCTATCAACAAGTGAACCTAAAAATCAAATGAATAAAAAACCTGATGAACAGAACAGACTGGTGAATGTAATTGAATCAGGGGCATGGAAATGGAGCAGACTGACAATTCTCAGGGGGAAGGGGTTGTCGGGGGTGCGGGAAGAGATTGGACAAAGAGTTTACACCTATGGATGAGGTTAGTGGGGGAGGGGAGGGAAGGCCTGGAGTGGGGTGGGAACTGGGTGGAGGAGAGCTAGGGTGAGAAAAAAGAGGAACATCTGTAATAATCTGAACAATAAAGATTAAAAAAATAATTTATTTTTTCTTCAATTTAAAGTAATAAATGTTTTTTGTATGAAATTTAGAAAAATCACAAAAAAGACAATAAAAATGATATACTAGTTAGAAGGTAAATTGTTAAATAACTAAAAGATAGTTTGGTAATATGTATCAAAGGCCTTATAATTTTGTATATTTTGTGGCCTGGCATACCACTTTTTGAAATTTATTGTAAAGAATTCATAATAAATAATTAATTTTCTCCAGCCAGAGAAAACCATATTTTTTTGAAGCTTAGTAACATTTATTTTTTTTGTGTTAAATAGTTATTATTGCCTCTGTTTTACTGTTAGATTACTTTAGAATGACAGAGTCTGATTTTCCAAAGTAATTTTTTAAACTATCAAGTTGCAGATATGAGACTTAAACCCAGAAAATATGAACACAGGTCCTTCTCTTTTTTTTCACATTTACCTACACTTTGGCCCAGACAGAAGAAAGCTTTAAGGTCTGTGTTACTTTGGCAAATTGTTGGAATATCTTTTGCAAGATAAGCAAGGTATGGTGCAGACATGGCAAGAAGCATCATACCAGAGTACAAATTATTGGAATAGTGAGAATATTCAAGTTTCTACTTATTTTTAAAATTAGAATATCCAGATAATGTCGCAAGCAGTCTCATGCAGATCCTACAAAAGTGTCACCTATGAAAAATACTCAAAACTTAATAATAAGCATAGTTATTCATAGTTATTAGGGTCCTGTCAGTAAAACATCACACATCAGAATGCAATATCATATTGTAGTATACAGAGTACAAGTCTTGGAGTACGGTGAAATGGGTTTGGGCTTAGTTTTGCTACTTACTGGTTGAGTGAGTGTAACAATGCTCAAGCTACTTAATATAAGTTTTATTTTACTTATAAAACAAAACTACCTATCATGCAGAGTTATAAAGATTGAGATAAAAGCCAGATAGCTAGTTGAGATAATTCTCCAGAGAAAGTTATATGCCAAATAGGTAAGTGAGCTTCAGGATAGGTAACAAATCTCTTCTTCTAAATGATTATTGTTGTTTTTAATTTTTTTGTGAACCTTGGGAAATAAATACTTGCTTCTTACTTCTGCTTCCAGTTTCATTTATCCTATACAGACAAGGAGCGCTATGAAAATGAAGAGAGACCTGATGTCCAAAAGCAGATCCTCGTTGATATTGCCAAGAAGCTACCAGTTTACACAAGGACTGGAAGTGGAGGTCAGTTCATCCAAAGTCAACCAGAAAGGCAGATCAGCAAGTGTCTCAGAAAGTCTAAGTCATATATATCCGTAGGCTAGCCCCTTTTTTTCTCTTCTGAAAAACAATATGGAGTCTGTCTCAGCATTTTATTATAAAAAATTTCAAAATTTTATCCAAGATGGAAGAATTATACAATAAACATTTGTATGCCCACCACTACAGTCCACTACTAACATTGAACTATATTGATTTATCACACATCTGTTCACAAACTCATTCCTCTATCCATCATTCATAAAGCTTAATTATTTTTGGTGCATTTAAATGTAAGTAGCAGATATCAGTACATATTTAAATTAAATATTTTATAATTCTTTTGGGGATGAAATATACATATATAAACAAGCACAAATCATAAATGTACCATTCAGCATTTCCACAAATATACACACTCGTGTAACCAAAATCTCTATAAATATTACCATACTCCAGAACTTTCATGCTCCTTCTCACTAAATACAGCCACTATTATGATATTTTTTCCTCCATATATTAGTTTTATCTGCTCTAGAATTTTATATAAATAAATATATACCGTATTTACTATTTTGTCTGCCTTATTGTATTCAGCATAATGCCTTTGGGACTTACATTGCTGTGTATTTTATTGCCGAGTAATATTTCATTGTGTGAATATTTCATAGTTTATTTATCCATTTACACATTAATGCACATTTGGGTTGTTTCTGCTGCTTAGATATTGTGAGTTAATCTGCTGAGAACATTCTTGTACAAGTATTTGTGGAGAGATATGCCTTCATTTTTCTTGGGTAAATATCTACTGTGGAGTTTTACTGTTAGTTTTTATATGCATGACTAGAATTATACTAGCTGAACTAATTGTTTGCTTTTTAAAATTTGAAAAATAAGGCTCTTTTGACAAAAAGATTCTGTTTCAAAACTTTAGGAAGTGTACTTTAGTTATTTATGTTCATTTATCATTTACTTAATAAATATTTATTAAGATCCTATATGACAATGGGGGAAATTTTTAATATGGTCTGAGTATTAGATTATATTAAGGACTTGCTGTTAATTTTGTTAGAGCATTAATGTCATATGGTGATTATAATTTTTAAGCAAAGTCTTAAGGCATACTAATATCTTCTGAAAAGAAGACAGACACAAAATTGTACAGTTTCAGATAGTTAAAAACAGAATTATGTGATAAAGCAGTGATTACAAAGAAGAGGCATATTGGATGTACTGGGTTCAGGTTTATATTTTGTCTGATCTCTGTGTCTGTTAAAACTTTGCATTTGTTACTAATTTTTAACAATTAGAATATTACCAAGTGAAAATCCAGATTTCTAGCTTCTCTTGAAAACTCAAACAATCTGCATTTCTCCATGCAGAAATCAGCTGAAGCTGAGTAGTAAGTCTCTTTAAATAGGGCATGGATTATCAGGTTCTCCCACAGTCTCCAACTAGCTGCTTCACTCACTATTCCCTATTTCCTGGACCCTTGAAGCTTTTTTTGCAGCCCCTGTGATAGAGAGTAATATCAGGCTTCTCTAAATAAATGTCATTTGATCTGAGACTTGAAGATAAAAAGCAAATGCAAATACAAAACACCCTGGAACAGGAGCAAACTTGCATTAATAGGAGAAAAGACAGATAATCAGTGTAACTGGAGTATTGTAGTAGGAGAGTGGCACAAGTTAAGAATGAAGAGGTAGCCTAAGGCCAGATGATGCAGGCCATGGTAAGGAGTTCAGATTTTTTTTTCTAAGGGTGTTGAAAATCCATTGAAGGCTTTAAGTATAAAGTGATATGATCTGATTTTCATTTTAACTGATCAACTGGCTCTTTTGTAGAAAATATACTGTGGGTGGAGGAGGGACAATAATGAAAGAATGAGTAAATAGGCAGCAGTTATTGTAATCATTCATGTGAAAGATGATGGTGGCTTACACTGGGCAGTGACATTAACCATATCTTTGAAAAATCAGGCTAGAGAAAGAAATAAAAGGCATACAAATTGGGAATGAAGAAATAAAAGTGTCACTTTGACAGATGACATGATTCTTTATATATAAAACCCTAAAGACTCCACCAAAAAAAATAGAAACAATAAACAAATATAGTAAAGTAGCAGGATACAAAACTCAATGCACAAAAATCCCCTGCATTCCTATATACTAGCAATGACATTTCAGTAAAAGATATGAAAAAGAATTCCTTTTGCAATTGCAAAATAAATAAATAAAATACAAAGGAAGTGAAGGACTTATCTACTGAAAAATACAAAGCATTATTAAAAGAGATGGAAAAAGACAAAATGAAATGGAAAGACTTTCTGTGTTCATGGATTAGAAAAATCAACATAACTAAATGTCCATATTACCCAAAGCAATATACAGATTTTATACAATCCCATTAAAATCTCAATGACATTTTAAGAATAAATAGAACAAAAAATCATCAGATTTATATGGAACTACAAAAGGAACTAAAGAGACAAAGCAATCCTCAGAAAAAAGAAAAAAGCTGAAGGTATCACACTACCTGCCATAAAATTATACTACAGAATAAACATAATATAAAAAAACATGGTATTGGCAGTAAAACAGATACACAGACCAAAGGAACAGAATTGAGATCCCAGAAATAAAACCACATGTATATGGACAAATAAATTTTTGACAAATGAATCAAAAACCTACAATGAAGAAAGGAAAGTCCCTTCAATAAATGGTACTGGGAAAATTGAAAAGTCACATGCAAAAGAATAAAACTAGAGTAGAGTTTGTGCTAGCCAGGATGTGGAGAAAAGGGAGCACAAGTTCACTGCTGGTGGAAATGCAGATTGGTGCAGCCACTATGGAAAGCAGTATGGAGTTTCCTTTAAAAGTTAAAAATGGAATTTCCATTTGACCCAGTGATCCCACTTCTGGGAATATATCCTAAAAACCCCAAAACACCTATCAGAAAGAATATATGCCCTCCTATGTTCATGGCAGCATTATTTTCAATAGCTAAGAATTGGAAACAGCCCGAGTTCCAATCAGTAGATGAATGGATAAAAAAGCTGTGGGACATTTACACTATGGAATACTATGCAGCTGTGAAAAATAGGGATCTCTTACCCTTTGGGACAGCATGGATGGATCTGGAGAATATTATGCTATGTGAAATAAGTCAAACTGAGAAAGAGAAATATCACATGATCTCACCTATTTGTGGAATCTAATGAACAAAAGGAGTTTACCAACAAAATAAGACCTGAAGCAGGGAGGCATGGAACAGACTGACATACCTTGATGTGGGGTGGGGAGGGGGGTAAGAAGTGATAAACCAAAGAACTTATATACTTATATGCATAGCCCATGGACATGGGCAGTAGGTGGTGAAGACATAGGGGAGTGGGTAGGGGCTGGGAGAAGGGGGTGAAAGGAGGAGAAAATGGGAGATATCTGTAACACTATCAATAATACAAATGTATATTTTAAAAAATAGAGAAAAAAAAGGACAGAGGATCTGAACAAACACTTCTCCCAAGAAGACAAATGGCCAATGGATATGTGAAAAGATGCTCAACTTGGTTAGCTATTATAGAACTGCAAATCAAAACTACAATGACATACCACCTCACACTGGTTAGAATGCCTATTATCAATAAGGAAATTAATAACAAGTGTTGGAGAAGTAGTGGAGGAAAAGGAACCCTCATTCCCTGCTGAGGGAAATGTAAACTGGTACAGCCACTATGGAAAAGAGTATGGAGGTTCCTCAAAAAGTAAAAATGGAGTTACCTTTTGATCCAACAAACCTCTCCTGGGTACCTACCCCCAAAATTTGAAAACATTTATTCGCAAAGATATATACCCAAATCAAATATGTTCATTACAGCATTATTCATGGTGGCCAAGACACAGAAACAACCAAAGTGTCCTTCAATAGATGATTGGATAAAGAATATGTGGTACGTATATGCCATGGAATATTTCTCATCCATAAGAAAATATAAAATACTCCACTTGAGACAACATGGATGGAGGTTGAGAATATTGTACTAAGTGAAATAAGTCAGTCAAATAAAGCTAAGAACCATATGATTTCATTCATATGTGGGATATAACTGAAATTCAGAGACACAGAGAACAGTATGCTCATTACCAGAGGGAAGGAGGTTGTGGGGAGTAAAGGGGGCCAAATACCTGGTGATAGAAGATGATATGACTTTGGGGTTGGGCACACAATGCAATATACAGATCATGTATCATAGAAATGTATACTTGAGCCCTAACCGGTTTGGCTCAGTGGATAGAGCGTCGGCCTGCAGACTAAAGGGTCCCAGGTTCGATTCTGGTCAAGGACATGTACCTTGGTTGTGGGCATATCCCCAGTAGGGGGTGTGCAGGAGGCAGCTGATCGATGTTTCTCTCTCATCGATGTTTCTAACTCTCTATCCCTCTCCCCTCCTCTCTGTAAAAAACCAATAAAATATATTTTTTTTTTTAAAAAAAGATAGAAATGTATACTTGAAACCTATAAACCTATATAATCTCATTAACCTATATCACCCCATAAAATTTCATTGAAAATAAAATTTTAAAAATATGCTGAGTCAAACAAGCAAGTACCCTTCTTTTTTGCCTTAATTGTATCAAACTTTGATCACTACCTATTATTGGAAGTGAACACATACTGTGCTGAATTAGAAGTCTAGTATGTTGAATCAATTGTGTGTGTTTAGTGTACACTTTTGATGAAATTATTATATTAGCTCAAATTATTCATAACTTTGTTACACTTAATGTCATTAAACACAGTCATACTCTATCAATAAATACAGAGAAAATGAGCAGGAAAAGAAAATGCCTTTTCAAAAAGACATATGCAACCTTATGTCTATTGCAGCATTATTTACTCCTAGGGGCCCAGTGCACGAATTCATGCATCTTGAAAGGAACTGTGGGCCACAAGGCTGCGGTGGGCACAGGGATGGGTCTTGGCCCATCCTCCAAGCCCCTGCCTGGCACCTTCCACTGAGGCCCCCGGTCCCCTGTCTGCTGGCAGCTTCGCTCACATTGCTGCTACTCCCACCTGCTGATGGCACAAAGCGATTAGGACTGGTGCCAGCAGTGGGTGCAAGTGGAAGCTGCTGCCCCAATTGCCCCTCAGAGCAAGGGAAGGTGGAGAAGTCTCAGGGGCGATCAGGGCCGGTAGCCACCACTCGCACCCACTGATGGTGTCAAGTGATCGGCACTGGCGCCGGTCACCAGCAGCGGGTGTGAGCAGCGGCTGCAGCGCTGGCAGCGGGTGCAAGTGGGGCCGGTGCTGGCAGTGGTGTGAGTGGCAGCTCTGGAACCAGCAGTGGGTGCAAGCAGGGCCATTGCTGGCAGCTGGTGAGAGAGGTGGCTGCTGGCCCCGATCACCCCTCAGGAGCAGGGGGAGGTGGAGAAGCCCTGAGAACAACCAGGGCCGGCAGCTGCCACTCGCACCAGTACCCACTGGTGGCTCTGAGCAATCAGGGCCAGCGCCAGGTGCCGGCAGCAGGTGCAAGTGATGGCTCTGGCAACAGCAGCAGGTGCGAGCACCAGGCAGGGCTGCGGCATGCGAGAGCAAAGAATTTTCAGTAACCACCAGATGATCCCCCTGATGACTGGCGCCCCACCTTGGTCTGGCGCCCCCATTCACCTGCTCTACCATCCCTCTGTGGCCAATGCCCATCATGTTCCATGCTCTGCCGCCTGCTGCCAATGCCTGCCATGTTCCGCGCATGCCCCCTGGTGGTCAGCACATGTCATAGCGACTGGTTGTTCAGTTGTTCGGTTGTTCTACCATTCTATTTGCATATTAGGGTTTTATATATATAGATAGCAAAGGTATGGAAACAACCTACATGTCCATCAGTAGATGAGTGGATAAAGACTATATGGTATATTTGTATAATGGAATATAACTCAGCCATAAAAATGAAATCTTACCATTTGTAACAACATGGATGGATATAAAGGGTATTCTGCTAAGTGAAATAAGTCAGACAAAGAAAGACAAATACCATATGATTTCATTTATATGTGGAATCTAAAAACAATAAACAAACAAAATAGAAACAAACTTATAGATACAGAGTATATTTTGATGATTGTCAGATAGAAGGGTAGTTTGGGGTGATGGGAGAAGAACGGGGAGGGATTAAGATGTGCAAATTGGTGCCAGGCCGGTGTGTTGACCTGTGAACCAAGAGGTCATGGTTTGATTCCCAGTCAGGGCACATGCCTGAGTTGTGGACTGGATCCCCAGTGGAGGGCATGCAGGAGGCAGCCGATCAATGATTCCCTCTCACTTGTTTCTATCTTTTCCCCTCCCCCTTCCTCTCTGAAATCAAGAAAAATATATTTTAAAAATTGAAAAAAACATGCAAATTCATTGTTACAAAATAGTCATGGGGTTGTAAAGTACATCACATGGGATATAGTCAATTATCCTATATAATAAAAGGCTAATATGCAAGTAGACCAAATGGCAGAACAACCGGTTGCTATGATGTGCACTGACCCCCAGGGGGCAGACGGTAATGCAGGGGGAGCACAGCTCAGCCAGAAGTTGGGCTCACCTCTCCTGCCTCTGTGGCAGCGTTAAGGACCCCTCGGGGGTTGTCTGCCTGCAGGCTTAGGCCCGCTCCCCGGGACTGTGAGAGGGTGCAGGCTGGGCTGAGGGCCCCCCCACCAGTGCATGAATGTCATGCACCAGGCCTCTAGTATTGCAATAACTATGTATGGTTTCAGCTAGGTACTAGAATTATCTAGGTATCCCCTTTGTAAGGTATATAAATATCTGATAACTATGATGTACACCTGAAACAAATATAATATGGTATGTTAACTGTAATTGAAAAAAAAAGTTTAAAAAGAAAATGCCTTTTATTTAAGGGAAATAAGAAAGGAAGGAGGAAGGGGGGGGAATGATTTTGATATGGGAGTTACAGAGTGAAGAGAACACTAAACTATGGGGTCAGAAAACTTGTACTGGTCACAGCCCTGCCACTTACTCATTGTGTGGCCTTGTATAATTCACTTGGTTTGACTCAGGTCTTTACTTCCTTTATCTATGAAATAGTCACTTGAACTATTTTTCTACAATGTCTCTTCTATTTCCCAAATAGTTATTCTAAGAACCACTATATTTTCTATGCTTTAGGAATTTTATCTACCTCATAGAATAATAAAATGTCTGAAAACAGAAGATAAAATATGAATCCTAGTTTTCAGATACAAGAGTTAAAGTAAACAGAGGCTAAATAATTTTCCCAAGATCACTCAAGCAGTTGACAGTATAGTTTGTTTTGTAACACAACATCTTATGATTAGGTATTGTGTCTAATCCTATGATATGAAAACTTTCCCCCTTACCTTCATTCCCAAAAAGGTACTTTCAAGATTGATACAATAGGGTACACTTTCTCTCTCTCTTAAGTATGCTTGAGCCCTTTCCCCACCCCTACTTTCTCCAGGGCTCGCTCTCTCTCTCTCTCTCTCTCTCTCTTTCTCACCATTCCCCCTTTTCTTCCCTGTGCATACCTTTGTGCACACTCTCTCTCCTAAGCTCCAAAGGACCTTCTTTTGCCTCTGTATCTTGTTTCCTGAGCCCGTGCAGACCAGCTGGCTCACCTTTCTTACTTCTGTGACTTTCTTATAAGTACCGCGCGCTAACCGATTGCGCCACTGGAGCCCCGGCCTCTGTGACTTTCTAAATGAACTTTTGTTTGTATTTGGAAAAAAAGATTGATACATTAGGAAAAAAACATACATACCACAATTCTCTTATGCAATTTGCCTTTTGCTTGATAACTTGAAATGAGTTTGACTACCTGTAATCAATGTATATATATAATCAATGTATATACAGCAAGCCATTCAGATAAGCTAGGAAGATAGATGGTATCACATTGAGCTCTAATCAGTGCTAACCATCTTATTTTTCCTATAGCTGTAAGATTCTGTGACCAGTGCCATTTGATCAAGCCAGATCGCTGCCACCACTGTTCTGTCTGTGCTATGTAAGTGACAGCTATATTTTCCCTGGACCAAGCTTTGCAATTGATCGTTGCTAAGACAACAATGTGACTGATCTTAACATGTAACCATTCCTAGATAAGAGCATTTCCTTTCAATTATAATGAGCACATGCCAAACACACTCATAGGGATGATAATTCAAACTATTCTAAAGATAGGAAAGAAAAATAAAGTCTCATTTAAAAAATAAACATTTTAGCCCTACCTAGTTTGGCTCAGTGAATAGAGATTTGGCTTGCAGTTAGAAGGGTCCCAGGTTCGATTCTGGTAAAGGGCACATACCTCAGTTGCAGGCTCAACTTGGGAGGCAACCAATTGATGTGTCTCTCTCACATTGATGTTTCTCTTTCTCTGTCTCTCCACCTCCCGTCACTCTCTCTAAAAATCAATGGGAAAATATCATCAGGTGAGGATTAAAAAATAATAATAAATAAACATTTTATTTTAGAACAGTTTTAGATGAATAGAATTATTCTATATAATAAAAGGCTAATATGAAAATTGACCAAACGGCAGAATGACCAGTCACTATGATGTGCACTGACCACTAGGGGCCAGACCGTCAATTCAGGAGCTGCCCCATGGTGGTCAGAAGCAGGGCAGCGCTAAGGACCCCTTGGGGCCTGGCAGGTGGGTCCCAGACTGTGAGAGGGCGCAGGCCAGGCTGAAGGGCCCCCCTCTTCCCATTGCACAAATGTCATACACCAGACCTCTAGTTGTAAAGATAATTCTCATAAGTCTCCCACAGTTTCCCTATTATTAACAGCTTATATTAATATGATAAATTTGTTACAATTAATGAACAAATATTTATACATTATTTTGGACTTAAATCCATACTCTATTCAGATTTCCCTTAATGTTCTTTTTCTGTTCCAAGATTCCATTCAGGACACCATATTACATTTATTTGCCATGTCTTCTAAGGCTCCTCTTAGATGTGATACTTTCTCAGAATGTACTTTCTTTTATGTAACCTTAACAGCTTTTAGGATTGTCAGGTATTTTGTAGAATATATTTCAGCTGAAATTTTTCTTTAGATTTGACTTGGGTAGTGTGTTTTGGGGAGGAAAACCATAGAGGTAAAGTACCATGCTCATTATATCATACTTAGGGTACATAATATAAACATGACATCATTGTAATGTTAGTCTTGATCATCTGGGTGAGGTAGTGTTTGTCAGATTTCTCAACTATCAAGTTACTCTTGCCCAGCCAGTGTGGTTCAGTGGTTGAGCAGGACCTATATACTAGGATGTCATGATTCGATTCTGGTCAGGGCACATGCCCAGGTTGCAGGTTCAATCCCCAGTAGGGAGGAAGCTGATCAATGATTCTCTCTCATCACTGATGCTTCATTCTCTTTACATTTTGTATTATAACTCAGTACTACATTGTTTTGTTACTCTAATTGTTCCAGCTTTGTAAAACCACACTTTTATGTTAATTAGGTATCATCTTCATATCTTTCTTCTTGGGTGCTTATTCCACTTGTATTTATCTTACCCTTGATTCAAACACAGATGTAGCCATATAGTTTCTTCCATAGTTTTAATTAACTATATATTGAGCAAAATGAAGGGCAATATCCTAGACCTATTCTCTGTATCAATATCCTAGATTTCCCAACCACTTTTATAGATTGGACTTTTAGGCATGCAACTTGTTGCCAGCATGATCCTATAAATTGTTGTGCTTGGCTAATACAAGACATAACTGAGAACACCATAGTCTTAGTGTAGCTATTGTGGAAATCTAGGAATGAGTGTACTGGTACCATGTAAAAATACTGGTGAGAAATTGACTTAAATTTTGAGGTTTTGCTTCATTTCCATAGCCCTACTTATCACACTATATTTTGCTCCCTTTTTAGGTGTGTCTTAAAAATGGACCATCACTGCCCTTGGTAAGGCCCTTTTATTTTATTCTTTCCTCCAAAAAGAGTCGCTTAATATGCCTACTTTAGTAAGCACAGTTGTAACATGCCTGTTTCTGCTATTCACTGGGCTCTTATTTGTGTGAGGGACAGGGGGCTTAACATTTTAAAGCAAGAATAAATATACCATAAAAAGTATGGTGGTGAATTCTTGGGGTCACAAAGCTAATGGTCTCTTGTCGATTAGCTTTAACAATTAGTCATAGTAATGGAATAAAACACAAATAGTTCGTCCTTTTGACATTATACAATCAGTTTTTGTTTTTGTTTTTTTGTTAGTTTTTTTGCTGTCTTGATGTTTACTTGGCTCTTAACAAGTAGGCTACTGTTTAACTGAGTAAACAATGTTACATTTTACACTTTTTGCCTTTGGCCCTCCTCGTCAGCCAATAACCAAATTAAAATACTGTACATTGTTAGCATCAGCAATTCTCCAAATTTTCTGTCTGATCTAGAGAACCCGTCTGAAAGCATCTAACTACAAAGAGAACATGCCACACTGTACTAAATGTAGCTGCTGAGATTTTAATAGGTTTTCAGCATCCAAGATCTAGGTTTGATTGGGTGTGTAAGGAACCAGTTCAGAACAATTAGATTGGCCAGGTGTCTCTGTCCCTGTGGATGAAAGGAATAACAAGTGTGATGTTAACTTGCTTTTCTAGTTTATTCCTCTTATGGGAATTTTATTTCTGTTGAATTTCTACACAACACATAATGAAACAGTAGGAGCAACATACTTCCATTGCTTAATTCACTTATGTATCAGTGTGCTCTCAATAAATGGGTCCTGATTACAAATTAGTTTTTCTTTTCTTTTTTTAGGGTTAATAATTGCATTGGATTTTCCAACTATAAATTCTTCCTTCAGTTCTTAGGTTATTCTGTTCTCTACTGCCTGTACATTGCTACAACGGTCTTCAGCTATTTCATCAAATACTGGAGAGTAAGTTAAAAAATCCTGAATTCCCTGCCCCCCCCCACCAAAAAAAACCACACAAACACACACATACTCCAGTCTGTGACATTGTTTGCCTTATTTTTTAATACATTTTGAAATAACTAATATGGAAATAACCATAAGGGAAAGCACCAAAAGCAAGTTTCCCATGTTGAATATTCTGAGATTCAGGAGCCGTTATTTAAATATTCCTATTTAAAAAGTTCCTGTTGGCCTAACTGGTTTGGCTCAGTGGATAGAGCGTCAGCCTGTGGACTGAAAGGTCCCAGGTTCGATTCCAGTCAAGGGCATGTACCTTGGTTGTGGGCACATCTCCAGTAGGGGGTGTGCAGGAGGCAGCTGATCGATGTTTCTCTCCCATCAATGTTTCTAACTTTCTATCCCTCTCCTTTCCTCTCTATAGAAAATCAATAATATATACTAAAAATAAATAAATAAAAAGTTCCTGTCATATATGAGAATATTTTTAAGGCCTTCTAGAACCTAACTTCTTGATTCTTACTAATTCTTTACAATGTACTTCTCTTGTCAAGCTTTAAAAAGTCACATGTTACCAATTATAGACTTGACAAATGTTGAAACAAATTCTACATCCTTAGATTCCTAAGAAAAAGCATAACAAAGTACTCCCTCATTGTTAGAAAAATACTTTCTAATTCCTTGTTCAAAGGAGAGTTGCAAAATTCCTACAGGGAAAGAAAGATACATTAACTTATCTTCACATATTACCAAAATGAAATGAGGAGTCTTATTTGAACTTTGTATAACAAACACTGGGATTCTAATACTGGCTCTGTTAGCTGCTTTACAGGCTCATTAACAAAATCAAGTGAAACAGTTGTTGGAAGTACTCTGCCTTTCAAAATATGATTCCGATAATTATAATGAAATCTAAAGAAATCCTACTTTCATCTTTCTTCTACTTGAAGATATCCATCATAACCCGTCTATTTCCAAAATAATTGAATGTAGATTTTCAGTTTACATATGTGTACCAGTTCTGGCAGCAATATAATGAAATATTTTGTTTTGTTTCATGCCAATGGACTCCGGAAGACATTACCTCCATACAACTCTAGTATAATTACTAAGATATCTTAATGTTCCATAAAGAGGATTGTCCAACCTGAACCTGAATAACAAAAGACAGATGTAGGCAGAGCTACTAGTTATTATTTTAGGAATTGCACAAGAGCCTGTACAACAAGAATATCTTACCTCAAGCAGAGAGGTAAAGCAGCAGGGAAAAAACATGAATCCTGTGACCAGAATATGGATTATAATAAACTTGGGGGGGGGGGAGGGAGGAGAGAGAAAGGCACAGCAGTGAGGCTCTAGGTAGCTGAGAAGATTTTAATTGTTAAATAGTGATTCACCCCTAGTAGTGTAGAAAATTATAGTGATATGTGCTTTCCATTCCTCCTTCCACTTGCTTAATCAATTCAGATATTTAATAATATTAATAATCAGAAATAATATAATGGATATAAAATTCTTCAACTCAGAGATACAAAAATATAAACAGAAATGAAGTTTTCTCATTAATTTTGTATTTTCCCCAAATATAAAATGCTTCACCATCTTGGTATTTCTTCATTGGTCCCTTTCCACAACACAGCATCTCCTATCAATTGCTCAGGTTTCTATGATATGTTTGGCATTTTATTCACACACTATGCTACTACCCTGAAAGTAAAGAAAATAACTGCATCCAATTCATTAGGCAAAATGTCAGCCTTGGTCTTCACTACTGACTTTACTTGGCTCTTAACACAATAGGCTACTGTTTAACTGAGTAAACAATATTACATTTTACACATTTTGCATTTGGCCCTCCTAGTCAGCCAATAATCAAATTAAAAAATGTCAGCCAGGTGCCATATGCTTTTTTTAACTCTTGAAAGTTATAGTTGGACATGAATCAATCACCAGAAATATGTCAGTATTCACAAGCAACATCAGGGATGAACATAGACTTGTCCTTTCCTATGCCCTCGTTTCTTCTCTACAATACACTAGCTTCTGCCTGACATATGTGAGAAAGGCGATTAAACTTATTTTGTCTTGCCCTCATAATGAAAAAGACATTCAAATAAATGATTCTTTGCAGTTTCTCCAGCTAGAGAGCCCTTTAATGTGGGCTAGGAATGGCTTTCTCAGTGTAAATTGAGTCTCCCTTAAAAAGAAATGTAAACACTGCCATTTATTATTTTTTCTTTATTTTATTTTTTCCATCACCATTTAGCCCCTCTATACCCTCTTTTGCCTCCATCCACCCCTCTTCCCCCCACAATCACCATACCACCCTGAAAACTTATCTGACATTTATTTTAAAAGCTATGTATCAAGAAAGCTAGCTGTGCTCCTAAGAACAGCAACATCTATTTGTATGGTACTTTACTATTTTCAAAGCACTTTTATATCTAGTATGTCATTTTATCCTCACCACAGCCTTGTGAAGTAGACAAAGCAGGAATTGTTAGTCTCATTTAAAGATGATAAAACTGTGGCTCATAGTGGTTAGGTGACATGCTCCAGATTATCCAGTTTATAAGTTTCAAAGTCAGTATTGAATCTGACTCAAAGCCCATTGACCTTAAACATGGTACCATGTCTTACTGTCCATTATAGTCCTGCTGTGGAAAAGCTCTAGCACTTCAGAATGAAGAATTCAGAAGACCATCACATTTGTCTCTCCCAGTAATATTAACTTAAAGAGTAGCTGCTTTGGTAGGAAAAATTAGTAACTTACATCTCCCATTTTGGGCCATGAATCTCCTCATAGAGGCTATGAATTATTTTAGAACCAAGAAAATAAGTATTATTCCACTAGTATTGCCCTGAAATGTTTCTGGTGGTTGAGTAATTTAGCTTGGTTATCTTCTGAGAAGTTAATTTTGAACATAGGGCCATCATCTTCTAACAAAAAAAAGTTAAATATTAAGTACTTTATCAAGAGAAAATACAGTAGATAGGATTTGGAAGACACAAGAGAGTCCTGTAAGAGTACTTAGAGCAGGGAAAGATTTTCAGCTATGCTATCCAGGGTGTGAACTGACTTTATATCACTCCCTCTTGCACAGTTATTTATTTCCCATTTAAACATAAAAGGTAAGAATGAAAATAAATAAGTTTTAAAAGCTTTAAAAAACATATTCAAAAAGTAGAGATGTGAAATAAAAACCCAGCCAGGTAAAAACCCCTACAAACTGATATATTTGTTTCCTATAAATTCAAAACAAAATAAACAAAAAACAATCAAATTCAGTTTGGATGCTTAGGCCAAGAAGAATCATTTCAAAAGGGATCAAATTTTATGCCATTTTCACCCAGCCCACCTCTCATATGAAAGCATCTCACTGGCTTACTTTCCCTTATCTTCAGCCTTCAAACACACACAGGAAGATTTCCAATATTTCTTCACATCAAAATGAATAAAAATCTCATCTAAGAGAAGAAGTAAATTGGTACAACCTAAATTTGCCAAGTTTTTCCCAGCCTTAACTTTCTTCTTCTAAGCTAGAGTAGAACCAGATCCTAATGTAAGGTCCACTTTGAGAATTAGCTTTAACTTTATCACTTGAGATCATTTGTAAATATTTCAAAATAATTCATTAAGCCAAAACAATGATCAGCAAGAAAAGGAAGGGAAAAAGGAAAGTCATTACCACAACTGCTCACTCAAAAATAGAAATTTTTTCTAAGATTATCTATAGAAGACAAAATGTTATGAGCTGTGCATGCTATAGAACTTTAGAAAATTCATTTTGGTTTAGGGCTGCATATTTTAAAAAAACTGGTGCCACATGGAGAATAAGATGTCCCAGCTAACTAGAAAAATATTTAGCTACCTGCTTTTAAATTATCCTGTCAAATCTGCTTAATTTTACAGTCTAAACAGTAATTTTACAGGATGTAATATATCAGCACATTGTACTTCAGCTATAAAAAACAAACACGCACAACCAGACAAAATTTGTAGTAGCTTTAAAATCAGTTCATGACTTATGAGCAGAACATTTTAAAAATTCTACCTATGTGTTTTAACTTCCTACATATATCATAATGACATTTTTAAACACACATATGCATCCAAGAAAATATGACATATAAAGTATTCCAGAGTAACCCACCTTGAGATAAGAGGATGAACCATATGATCTCAAAATTACCTCTAGTTAGTGATTCATGATTTAGAAACTAATTTTAAAACTAAGACATTGCATACCAATTAAGGACTAAGTATACTCTTGACAAATTATCTTTTTCTAATTGGTACACTATATGCTATATTTTAGAGTGACCTGCACTTAAGCAAGAATCCATGTTAGGCTTTGTAAGCTGAAAGCATATCTATAAGAGGCATGGTCATCAAAAGAAAGAAATTTTTTACAAATTTTACAAAATCTACTTTTTAATTACAGCTAGACATTTTAAACATATGAAAAATTACTAACCTTTATAGAAAAACTAGCCAAGCCTTACAACTTTAATCTTTCGTTTCTGTTTATTATTTCTTTTCTAGGGGGAATTACCCAGTGTTCGCTCTAAGTTCCATGTCCTTTTTCTCCTATTTGTGGCCTGCATGTTTTTTGTCAGCCTTGTGATTCTCTTTGGTTACCATTGTTGGCTTGTCAGCAGAAACAAAACCACCTTAGGTAAGACGGGATATTAAGACTACAAAAAAAGTATTAATGTATATCACAGTGACCTATGGATTATTCCCAAGAAAGAGAAAAACTTCCAGTGAAGCATTTTAGCTGCAGTGACATTAATTTCCCCCTGTTGAGATAAATGCAAACAAGTTTTACCAAACAGGAGAGCCATGGTGAATGAAGCTTACATAGGGAAGAGAACATTAGTGAAAGAAACCTCACACAAAACCAAAAATGACCATTGTTCTTTATAGTTCATTTTGGGTAATAGCTCTCTCGATTTGCAGCTTGAATTTTTTATAAGTGTTCACATGAGGAAATGAAGGAAAGAATCAGTACAGAAGGGAATACCAGAAGTTGGAGGTAAAAGTCAATAAAAATAGAAGAATATAACTTAATGAGCACATCCAAAAGTAGAGTCCTAAGAAAGAACTCAAGCCAAAAAAAAAAAAATTGAATGTCTACAATCATCAAGGAGCTGTGTAGGGACTGTGTGTATGAGATGAACACATTGAACAAGTGAGTTTCTAGAAAATGAATATAGTAAATTAACTTTTTTTCTGTCTATTATTCTATACTCTGGTTTGTTGTTTGAAGAACTATATTTCTGATTGATTCCAGTGCAACAATTTTTTTTATCTATGGTGAAAGAAATATTTACATTGTATGCAAATCAATTCATGACAAGTGAAGAGAAAGTGTCAAAATGTTGAATGGTTAGCTAAAATAGATTTGAAGAAAGTTTAGTACAAAGTCAATTATACTTTTTAAACTCATTTGTTAATTACACTAACAGGAAAGAAGGTATTTGCACTCATTTTCCAAACCAAATATATATGTAGCACTTAGTTGCTAGGGTGGTAGATTAGCACTTTTGGCTTAGACAAGCTGCAAATTAGAAAAGAATTAAAAGCTTCATGATAAAAGAGTCTGAAAAAAAAGAACAAATAAGAAATGACCAGATGCAGTCAGAGCCCATCAGTAAAAGTATTTGCTTAATGGAATAAATGTGTTTAAATATAATATGCACTAATATGGTTAAATTTCTCTTAGTCTTTAAGTCTGATTATAGTTCACCCATTCACATTTTTTTTTCTGGAGTAAAATTCAGCTTACATTGTGTGCTTCAGTGTGAACATCTTCATTTCTGAAATGTTTCAAAACCAAATCAATGTTATTACTATCTCTTTATGTTATTGCTTTGGTCCCAGTTCTAAAGATGGAGATTGTTTGGCTGTTGTTGCCAATAAGATTTAAATAAAGTGCTGTTAAATCTATTATTTCACTCCTTACATGCAGCACGACAAAATTATATTATGCCCATGGCTACTTAATTTTTCTACCATCATTCATTTTTTCTGCCTTTTTTTAAATAAAAGAGAGTACCAATACTTTGTGTTTAATAACAAACTTACTTTGTGTTAAGTGGTTAAAATAGTTTTTACTAAGTAAATAAGAATGAAAGGCCTATGCTACCACAGCAGAAAGGTATCATAAGACCAAGTCTCATTGATGGAGAACTGTAAAATCATGACTTTCCTGAAATTTTTTTCCCTTTTGTCTTCTTCCTCTTTTATTCAACTCCCTTACATGCCCCAGAGGCCTTCTGTACTCCAGTGTTTATAAGTGGTCCAAAGAAAAATGGGTTCAACCTTGGCTTCATCAAAAATATCCAGCAGGTGTTTGGAGACAACAAGAAGTTCTGGTTAATACCTATTGGGTCCAGGTAGGTAATTATTACCACTGAAATAAGTTGAAGCTGGACCATACCTTGAAGTAACAGATTCAATTTTTATTGTAAAATGCAGCAGGTATCAGTTCAATGTAAAATTTTATTCCCTAAGTTTTTCATTTCTAAGTTAGCAAAGACAAATCATGAGGTAAGGGTATGATAAAATAGGCATTTTCATGCCATTTTTTTGTGACAGTGTAAACTGGTACCATTCTTTTATAAATGAATTTGGTAATATGTACTTAAAAATCCTAAGAATCTACAAAGCCATTGTCCCAATAATTCCATTTCTGAGAATCTATTATAAAGACAGAGACAAACTAGTTACAAAAATGTTAGTCACAGCAATAATTAGGATACAACTTAAAGTCTGGCAATATGAGAAAAAAATATATATATCGTAATGGTTATAAAGACTATGTCACAATAAGGGAAAATGCTTATTATATTTTAAGTGAAAAAATGTAGAATTCAAAATGGTATGTACACTGTAATATTTCAGTGAGATATGATTCACTTGTGTTAACTTGAAAGCAACCTGAATAGGGAAGAAACACATTTTTATTTATTATAGAGCACTATAATATTTATTTAAAGCTGACATTTAAAAATAAATCTGAAAAATAAAAATATATACAAATAGGACTTCTAGTCAATATAGAACAGTAAATAATTGCTGTGCTATTCTCCTCCCATGACTACATCAAAATTACAACTAAATTATAGAACAATCATCCTGGAGATAATCTGAAAACTAGTTGAATGGAACTTCTGTAAATAAGAATACAAAGAAAAAGCCACATCAAGACTGGTAGGAGGGGTGAAGACGGGAAACAGGCTGATCCCACAACCATGTAAAGAATTGGGAGGGATATCTCAGCTGTGGAGGTTCCCCCTGAGGAGCAGTAGGTCTCAGACCCACACTGTGAACCCTGGCTCAGTTCACAAGTGTTGGGAAGTGGAGTCCCCACAATGTCTGGCTATGAAAATCAGTGGGGATTCTGTCTGGGTGAGATGGAGCGTTGCTATAGACCCAGGCATCTTCTTAAAGGGCCTGAGTCAGACTCACTCAATCACAAAAACTCATCCTAAGCTTGAGCGAAGAGATAGCAGCTCAAAATGTACCAGGGACCTATGGGGATAAACTGAATTGTGTGGCTTCAAGGCAAGAGCTTGAAGGGCAGCCACTATTGTTCCTTTGTTGAGCCCTCTCCCCACACTGCCTGCAGTTGCAATCAGGCACCAAATCAGAATCTGCATTAACCTAGTGAATACCCCAGGTCCAACCTGGTGACTCTCTGGGACCCCGCCCCATCCAACTCCAGCACCATCCAAATCTCTTTCAGCACTTGTTTCTTATAAGCAAAGGACTATTGTCCATGCTGAAGACTTTCTTAAAAACTCTCAAAGCTCCACAAGCCCCAGGCAGGTGACAACTGGCCTCTTTGTGACTGGTGCCTCTTGCTGAGTGTTCTAAGGCCTACAACTGGTGTCAGCTGGCCTAGGTTAATAGTGTGGTATCTCTCATGTGACTCTGGGCACAGTATAGGCAACTACCAATCAAGCATCACTTTGTAGTTTCTAACAGGTGGCCCTAGGGGGTGCACAGGTAGAGGCTGAACTGGGCTTGCACCAGAGCCCCTCAAAAGAAGCCACAGAACAAACATACCCAATGACCAGGTTCAGATCACAAAAGAACATCACCAAATTGGCTTCACAAACAGGATACCCAAAGGGTGGTCTCAGCAGTTACTAGAGCACCAATGGGGTAAACCCTGCTGTGTGGGGTCAGCCCACACACAACAGCTCATACACTGTGATGCTGGCCAAGCCTCATAGCTAGTCAGCCTGAGGGTCAACCACACCTATTATTGCAGCTATATCATTCTTCATTTCTTCTTGATTCTTATTCATCATGTATTTCTCCTTCAGCTCCTTGTAATTCTTATTGTGTTGCTTGTAATTCTCAGTCAGATGTTTGAGCATCCTTATAACCATTACTCTGAATTCTTTCTCTGACAAATTACTTGCCTCCATTTCATTTAGTTCCTTTTCTGGCGATTTCCAAAACCCAGACACATCCACAACAGCTTGCACGACAAGTTTGGGGCTGAACCACATAGTCATACAATCTATGAGGAGACTCCATCCATGAACGGTACAATAATATTCAAGTCCCAACTACATTAGGATAGGCCAACAGCACTCAGGGCTCAACAACAATAGGAGGGCACACACAACCCACATAAAAGATACCCCAGGAGTACCTGACTCAAGTGACCAAAGAGACTACACCACTGGGATCCACAGGGCACATACTACAGAAGATCACTCTGCCAAGACTGGGAGATGTATCAAATCTACCTCATACATAGAAAGAAACCCAGAGAGGGATCCAAAATGAGGAGAAACAAACTAATCCCAAATGCAAGAGCAGGGGAAATCTTCAGGAAAAAAACTAAATGAAATGGTGACAAGCAATTTATCAGATACAGAGTTTAAAATATGGGTTATAAGGATATTTAAGGAACTAAGGCTAAGAATAAATTATCTCATTGAAAATATGAACATAGAGAAAGGAAATATATTTAAAAACCATAATAAACCATTAAAAATAAGTCAGAAATGAAGACTGCAATATCTGGAATAAAGAATAAACCAGAACCCTAACTGGTTTGGCTCAGTGGATAGAGCGTCAGCCTGCAGACTGAAGGGTCCCAGGTTCGATTCTGGTCAAGGGCATGTACCTTGCTTGCGGGCACATCCCCGTTGGGGAGTGTGCAGAAGGCAGCTGATTGATATTTCTCTCTCATTGATGTTTCTAACTCTCTATCCCTCTCCCTTCCTCTCTGTAAAAAAAAAAAATCAATAAAATATACTTAAAAAAAATAAATCAGAGAAGCAAGATGGCAGTATAGGTAAATGCTGGTCCTAGCACCTCCCACAATCACAGCAAAATTACAACTAAAATGAAGAACAACCATCATTCAGAACTGCCTGAAATCTGGATGAATGGAAGTTCTACAACTAGAGAAGTAAAGAACAAAGCACATCAAGTCTGGTAGGAGGGTTGGAGGCATGGAATGGGCTGATCAGATACCCACCTGTGGTGATTTTTAAAATCAGGAGTTATATATCCTGTTCAGAGGCCTCCCATGAGAAGCAAGGGGTGTAAGCCCCACACCAGACCCCCAGCCCAGGGTTTCAGAGCTGGAAAGAGAAGTCCCCATAACTTCAGGCTGTAAAAACCATTGGGGATTATGGCTGAGTGACAAGGTCGCTGCTGGAGTCCTAGGCAGTTCTTCTTAAAGGGCCAGTGCATGCACTTACAGGGTCCTACTCTGTCTGATCTCCAGTGCTGAGTGGCAACATTGGGGGAACCAGGGACATATGAAGAGGAACTGTATTTTCTGGCATTGGGTAGAAACTCAGGGACAGCTTTTTCTAAGATGGGGGTACTCACAGGGATCATTGTTCCTGTGCTGGGACCTCCCCCATCACAGAGCTGTCTGGCAGCCATATCTGAGTTTCCATCAGTGTGGCTCACACAGTTCCCTCCACATTGGTGATTTCCTAAGACCCCACCCCATCCAACTTGCAGCCCCACCAAAGTGACTTGCAGTAGCTTTTCCATAGGAAAGGACTATCCTGGATCAGGCCTCAAAATTTACTAAAATCTTTCAAACAGGGATCAGCTGGCATGAGTGTGCCCCATACCTGTCCATAAGAGGCCCAAGACCTGGCACTAGCAACAGTGTACCTTGCTTCAAACTTGGCCTCACCTAAGCACTTCTAAGCCCAATACAAATGGCAGCTATCTGAAGATCACTGTAGCTCCTTCTAGGTGTCCCCAGCAAGTGGCTGACTTTGCACTTCCCAGGAGGCCACAGAGTTAGTGCACCTGGTGGACAACTTCAGACCATACCAGATTATAACTCTATACATCCACAAGTGGCACACTCAAGGGGCAGACTCATTGAGCACCAAAGCCCCGCTGAAGCAGGTCCTGCTCCATAGGGGTGTCTCCTACACAGCAGCTTTTCCATTGTAAATGCAGCCGGTCCTCACAGCCAATTGGCCTGGAGATCAACTCCTCCCAGTGACACCAACAGCAATGAAGGTTCAACTGCAACAAGGCTATGCACGTAACCTATACAGGGACACACCTAGAATGCCCAGCTCATGTGACTGGGGAGATCGAGCCACTGGGCCCTACAGGGCACCTACTACACAAGGCCATTCTACCAATTCCAGGAGACATAGCAGCTCTACCTAATACATAGAAACAAACACAGGGAAGTAGCCAGTGTGCAGAGAAAAATAAATATGACAAAAGAACAGAAGAAATCTCCAGAAAAAGAAATAAATGAAATGGAGGCAAGTAAACTACTGGATACAGAGTTCAAAACAATGGTGATAAGGTTGCTCAAGGATCTTAATGAGAGCTTCAAGGGACTCAATGAGAGCTTCAAGGGACTTTTTGAGACTTTCAAGGATCTGAGTGAGAATTTCAAAGGCATGAAAAAGGACCAGTCAGAAATTAAGCACTGCTGAAGGCCCCAAGACCTCCACAGTGGGTTAATGCAGAGTGGTGCACCTCCCTGGCTGCAGGCTCCAGTATCCCCTTCAGTGATTCGCAGAGTCGTGCACCACCCCACCGTGGGCTCGGGGACCCCATAGTGAGTCCCAGAGATACATACCACTCCAGCAGCATGTTTTGGGACAGCACAGTGAGTCACACACCAGTGGGACCTTACAAGCAACCCTTGCTATGGGAGCCTGGAACCTGAGCACATCCACAACAGCTTGCATGACAAGTTTTGGGCTGAACCACATAGTCAGACAATCTATGAGGAGACTCCATCCATGAATGGTACAATAACATTCAAGTCCCAACTACATTAGGAAAACCCAAATAACTCAAGTAGTGGGCTTTCCTAGAACACCCAGATCAGATCTGAGAGACTGCACCACTGGTTCCCACAAAACACCTA